GATGGAGGCCGCGCATCTTCTGGGATACTTCAACGGGTCCCTGCCATTCCCAAGCAACGGCACTGGGAAGGAACAAGAGATCTTCACGTATCAGTCGCTGCTGGCGTACACGGTACTCCTGAAAAACCTGTCACCACAAGAGCAGCAGAGCATCAGAACGTATCGGAGTTATGGAAACTCCGCGGAGCTCGCATGGCACCACCTCAAATGCCTTTACCAAGCAAACGACAGCGTGACACAAAGCAGACTCATGCAACAGCTGACAACAATACAGATGAAGACCGGGGAAAAGGCGATGCAGTATATGAGTCGCTGCCAGACCCTCCGCGACCGCCTGCTTCGGTGCGGAGGAACGATCACTGAAGAAAGCTTCGTGACACTTGTCCTCGCCGGGCTCGGGCCAGAATGGAGAACCACACGATCACTTCTTCGAGCCCACGGAAGAATTTCGGAGATGCACCTCTGCGCCGAGCTTCACGCTGAACAACAGGAGATGGATCTGTTCGAGGAAAGACAACCAAGGAAGCAACAGCAGCTAGTCTTCTACACTCAAAGAAGAAATGACAACAACTACAACCGACGCAGCAAGCAAGATCAACGTGACAACCGAGGACTCACCATCGTGCCGCCGTTCTGCCACAACTGTCAGACTTCCGGGCACTCCAAGGTCAACTGCAACCGCCCTCGCGTTTACCGTGCAGCAGACCCACAAGTCGCTTCCACTCAAGCAAGTCCTCCAAGGCGCTCTTCAACATCTGCACAACAAACACCCAACATCATCAACTGCATGGTACACATCGACAACTGCGCACCCGCTTCACCACCCACTTACGCACCAGACGAAGAGGAATTCCCGCCGCCGCGCTCGCAAGGACTTCAGGTCAACCCGACATACGCTGCAGTCGCTAACGCCGAACCCACCGGGCGGAACACCTGGTTCTTGGACAGTTGCTGCGGTCAGCACATGTGCTCCTCCGGACGCTTCGTACAACACGAGCGACGCCTCAACCGTGACGTCGTCATCACCGTCGCCAACAACGAAAACCTGAAAACAAATAGACAAGGCGTGGTTCAGTTACAATCAATGGAGACAAACGTTATTCTTCAGCTCAACAAGGTCCTCATCGTCGACAATCTGGGATACAACCTATTAAGCGTAAGCCAACTAATGGCTAAGGGGATTCACCTGGAGTGCGACTCCTTCTCCAACGAGTTCCGACTTTACCACGGGAAGGGCGGTCTCTTCATCGGTCGTGCCCTCCTGAAGTCCGGTGTCTTCGTGTTGGACTTCGTCCCCGACCGCGGAACTGCCGACAGCGACGGTATCGTATCCTTCGCCGCCTGGACTCATCCGCCAGATCTTGATCCCGACTTCGACAGCGACGGCTTCTGGCACTCCAACACCATACCTGCAGCAGAAAGAACACGAGCATTAGCAGTTATCAGACAAGAAAGACAAGTACCCGCATGTGTCCCAACAAAACCATCACCTGCAGTATCGGCAGCAGGACCCAGCCGAGTAACACCACCAGCGACACGAGGACAGCCAACCGAAGCAGACCAACTTATGCCCGCCACACGAGAAGCTTGTCGAAGTCCCGCCTCGGTCGTCGCGTTCTTCTCCAACGCCGACATCTACCACCGCTCGCCCGGTCACCGCGCTCCCGACGACATCTGGCACCAACGTCTCGGACATCCTGCAAACAGCACGATACTACAAACAATACAAGCAGAGGTGTTAGAACGTAACGCCCTTCTAACGACGAGCGGCCAAGAACTTCGCCGACCAAGAGCACGATGCTTCACGTGCCCCGAAGCAGATCTTCCTCATCAACCTTTCCCAGCCCATCACAATCCAAGCGCACCCACTTACGCTCCGATGGAAAAGGTCTACAGCGATATTCTAAACATGCCTCGAGACGACACCGAAGCCGACTTCAACTACGTCATCACGTTCATCGACGCCGCAACCAGATACGTCTGGCACTTCAATCTCAAAACGCGCGATCAAGCCTTCGAGGCCTTCACCACATGGCTTCCAATCGCCGAACGAGAGTCAGGAACCAAACTCAAGAGTTTCCAGTCAGACGGTGCACTGGAATACCAGTCACAACGCTTCAGGACCTATCTCGCGGAAAGGGGAATCCGACGCCTGGTGTCTCTGCCCTATGCTCACCAGCAGCAGGGGGTAGCAGAACGCATGAACCGGACCTTGCAGACGACGATGCGAAAACTGCTTCTGGGGATGAGGCTGCCCAATACACTGTGGCCAGACGCGATGACACATGCAGTCCACCTGCACAACCTGTTGTCCTCGTCATCGCTCCCCAACAACGCATCACCGCACCTGCTGTGGACGGGAAAAAGGGGCAGCACAAAATTACTTCGAGTTTTCGGCTGCATGGTACAATACAGACCCCACACAGCTCGAGCAGGACGCTTCACTCAACGAGCTCGGTGGGGACTACACCTCGGCATCGCCAAACATTTTCACGCGTGGAAGATTCTCGACATACACGACAAAAATACGGTGGCATCACGTGATGTTATCTTCTACGAGCGACTGACGCTGCAGCATTACCTGGACAACATTGCCAACTCAGACGACCCCACCGACGGCTTCGCGGGCCTTCGCTCCTTCGCTGACCATGCTGCCGAGGCTGACGCAGCAGAAGAAGACGTCCCTGGAGCCTCGGAGGCTGCCGGACCACTCCCCTACTGCTCCGTACCTGTTCCACTCGATGAAGATAATCCCCTCGATAGCAACAACCTCGACACCTTTTACCACTTCGCTGACCAAGGCTACGCTACACCACACCCCGTCGACTCGAATATTTCCGAACGCATCGGGCCAAACTTCTTACCCGATCCTGAAGACGGTGATGAAGCAGCTTATCCCGAGAATGAAAACTCCCCTCGACACACAGCCACGGGACTGCAGATCCTAGGACTATGGGTCTCCGTCCAGCACCCGCCGCCGCCTTCTCCGCGCGAGCCGTCGACCCTGTCGCAGGCTCTGGGGGGGGAACATAAGGCACAATGGAAGGAAGCGATGGAAAAAGAGTTAAAAGCTCTGCAAGACCGAGAAACATGGAAACTGGTACCTGCAACGAGCATCAACGGGAAGAACATTCTCTCGGGGAAATGGGTGTACCGCATCAAGACCAACTCAGACGGCTCCATCGAACGATTCAAAGCTCGATGGGTCGTACGAGGCTTCGATCAACGATACGGAACCGACTACACAGAAACCTTCGCTCCAGTCTCCCGTCACACCTCTCTGCGCATCCTACTCGCCATCGCGGCCACGAAGAAACTACCACTACGGCAAATCGACGTTGCAAACGCCTTCTTGTACGCACCTGTGGACGCCGAAATCTTCGTCGAACAACCCCACGGATTCATCGACGACCCTTCAAAAGTATGCCAGCTGGAAAAATCCCTTTACGGGATCAAGCAAGCCCCACGGCTCTGGCAGCAGCACCTTCACGGCCGGCTCGTAAAAATCGGATTCCTACAGCTACCACATGACCAAGGCATGTACCGACTACAGAAGGGAAGAGATTACATTCTGCTCATCGTCTACGTCGACGACCTGCTCTACATCGGTTCTACCACCGACATCGTCACCTGGTTCGAAGGGGAGCTGAAAAGGGACCTGACGCTCACGGTGTCCGACGAAGTTACCCAGTACCTAGGACTGAACATCGTCGAAGACGACACGGCGTTCTACCTACACGCTGGAAAGTACTCAAGCACCGTCGCGAAGAAATTCGGTCTAGCACCGACTGCGGTCCCAACTCCCTACCGCTATGGGAACAACAGTAGCGCCTCCACAAAACTCCCCGCGAAACAAATCCAGGAGTATCAACAGAAGCTCGGCTGCCTACTATTCGCAGCAGTAACCTGCCGACCCGACCTATCCTATAGTGCGAGTCAGCTGGCGACACATCTGAAGCAGCCGCAACAGGAAGATCTCGAAGAACTCAATCGAGCGCTACTCTACTTCGTCTCCACGCCGACGATCGGGCTCACCTACAGCAAGGCAACAACACCGTCCGTACAACTACTCGGATACGTCGACGCCGACCACGCGGGAGACAGCGAAAATCGACGGTCTAGGACGGGCTACATCTACCGACTAGAACCTATCGGAACTATCTCCTGGCAGTCGAGCAAGCAGGAGTTAATCGCACTATCCTCGGCTGAAGCAGAGTATATCGCCCTTTGTACTGCGACCAAGGAAGGACTCTACCTACGAGAGTTACTCGAAGAAGCGAAGATCGCGACCCTGCCCGCCTTCTCACTCCTCTGCGACAACCAATCTGCGATCAAAATCGCGAACAAGGACGGCTTCGCCAACCGAACCAAGCACATCGCCCTGCGGTACTTCTTCGTCAAGGATGAAATCGCGAAGGGGAGACTTCAACTCAGTTACTGCCCGACGACAGAAATGGCCTCAGATTATCTGACGAAGAAATTGGCGAAAGCAAAATTCGACTACTGCATGCTCCTAACCGGGCAAACAAACGTCACCGGATCTGAACACTCCAGCACTCCAGAAACGAAGGGGAGTGTTGGAAATATCTCAAGGACTTAAGCGTTTCTGAAGTGTAACACTGTACTCGAGGAAGATTACAGGGGAGCACGCGAGTCAACGGAGGTTACACGAGGGGGCGGACAAAGAATGCGAAAGGACTCGAAAGGTCGCAACTGGAGGTTGCGACTGACCGTTACAACATCACGGATGGTAACCGAAGCGGCAATCGAGTCGCTGTGCGACTCGATAAACCGTTCCTGTAACTGTATTCTACAACTGCTTTCTTATCTTCTATATATTGCTGTATGCTTGTTTCTTTAATCAATCACTTGTTCTCACATACTAGTACAAGGGTTCAACTGCCTCAACTTCCGCTGCACTACTCCAAGTCTCAAGTCTCTACAGCTGGGACTTAGTCTCTGCAAAAGATCCTAAGGGCTTTTCTCAGCCCAACAAAAAG